AGCTCAGAGTAAGCAGAAGAGTTATGCCGATACCCGAAGAAGAGACCTGGCCTTTGAGAAAGGCGACCGGGTGTTTCTTAAAGTCACCCCCTTCAAGGGAATTAGTAGGTTCGGCAGGAGGGGAAAATTAAACCTCAGATATATTGGACCCTTTGAAATCTTAGACAAGATTGGTACCACTGCCTACAGACTTGCACTGCCTCCTGAGCTCTCCCGGGTTCATAATGTGTTTCATGTATCTATGCTACGTAAGTACAATCCGGACCCTTCTCATGTCTTGGCTCACGAACCGCTTCCACTCCGAGAGGACTTGTCTTATGAAGAAGTACCGGTCAGTATCACGGACCGAGAAAGCAGGATACTCCGCAACCGGGAAATATCATTTGTAAAAGTCAGGTGGCAGAACCACACGCCTAGGGAGGCGACTTGGGAACTGGAATCAGAATTTAGGGCCCAATATCCTCATCTGTTTGATCAAGAGTAAAGAGGCAAATTTAGGGACCAAATTTCTTTATGGGGGGGAGAGTTGTAGCGCCCGGAAAGGAGGAGGAAAGAGAAAAAAAAAAAAAACACGTCAGCAGCCACGTCAGCAGGCCCGGTCAGCAGTCCCGGCCAACCGGGACCTGCCACGTGGCAAAACCACGTCGTCCCAAAAAGGGCCACGTTGGCGATCCGTGTGGGCGCGATCGGACGGCCCAGATCAAGCGGGTGATCGGACGGCCCAGATTTAATCAAAAACGGACGGTCCAGATTAAAACAAAATGGACGGCTGAGATCAAAGGGCAAGGGGTTATAAATAGAACCCCCACACCAGACCACAAACCCTAGCCGCCTGCCGCTCGCCGGAGAAGACGAACCAGAAGCCGGCCGCCGCCACCCGCCGCCGCACCGGAGGAACTTTCGACCGCCGATCGAGGTAAATTTCGTACCCCCGACTCGTTTTTCCACGCTAATTCCTCCTGTGGCCAAATCGGAGCCAAAATCCTGGCCAAACGGCCGGAATACACGGCCGAAGCCCAGCGGCGCCGCCGCGCCCCTTCTCGGTTTTTGCCTCCGATGAGGCCCTTCCCGGCCTCCGTTTGATGCAATTTTTATATCACCGTGATCACCATTCTTTTCTCTACAGGTTGACCAGAGCCGAATCACCAAAACACGAACCTCGCCGGAGAGCCGCCGCACCCGAGAGCGCCGCCGCCGGTAAGCTCCGTTTTTCCGTGATTTTTTGGCCCCCCGAGGGCCCTAGGGTTGTTTTCTCACAGGGACCGATGCGAGTGCGGCCGAAAACAGCCAACCCGAGGCGACTCGCCGCCGCCGTGCCGGAGTTGCGATTTGGGCCGAAAGGGGCCCTGGGCCTAATTTGGGATTTTTTTTGGAACACGTGCAGGTACCAGTAGTGCGTTTCAGTTCCCCGAGGAAAATTTAGAAAAAATTAGGGACAGCCTGCAAGCGCACTGTGAAGTCGTGTTCGAACCCCAAAACGAGTAAGGACCCCTCACCCTATTTCCTATCACGGTATTAAAGTTCAAAATGATAAAACGGTATTTCTTGAATTAACGAATGTGTGAAATTGCTTAAGGTGGCTAATGGAGCCCGAGTCTAGTGTGATTGGTGATTTACTGTTATTTGGCATGTTTACAGCTTTAAATGCAAAATGAGGTTTGATGTGTTCATTTTACAGATTTGTGTGCATATACTACGTTTTTATTAATTATGGGTTGAATGACTGAAAAACTGATACTGTATGTTGTCTGTTTGGCATGAATTACGATTTGCTTGTTTAAATGTGAATTGATGATGCTGACTGAGGAAAAGGAAAATAAAAGATTGTGTAGACTGATAATTGTATTATGGGGTCAGCCTGACTAGATATCCTGGGAGATGGTGGACGGACCGGGTCCGTAGGGAACCCTACCGGGATTGTGGTCTCACATGCCGGACGGGGTATGAAGATCTTATGGTTTTGGCGCCCATACCGGACGGGGTATGGGGACGGCCCGTTTCACCCTCATACCGGACGGGATATTAAGGTTTATGATTTTGGCGCCCATACCGGACGGGGTATGGGGACGGCCCGTTTCACCCTCATACCGGACGGAGTATTGAGGTTTATGGTTTTGGCGCCCATACCGGACGGGGTATGGGGACGGCCCTGGAAACTGATTATGAATGTTAAAGGTTAACGGGTAGCGGGGCCCCTATGGACCCCCACGGATACTAGTAGGCTGGTAAATGAGAAAAAGATATGCTGTATAATGATTGAATTACAAGAGGCGTGATAAGTGTTATGTTTTACAGCTTATATTATTCCATGATTATGATAATGTTATTGTTTTTCTTATATTGTTTCATAAATTCCACCGAGGTAAGTGGATGGTAAAGGGTTTTATTACTGATAAATGAGTTTATTGTGAATTATGCTCCATTGGTCTTTTTGTGTTTTCTACCCACCTTTACCTCCGTGACGGTGAGATATCGTGATGTTCTTACTGGGCTAGTGTAGCTCACTCCTTATTTAACCATTTCATATCAGGAAGACATGGTTCCCGAGCCCGTTCCGCAGGAGGACGACGAAAGGGATGCCTAGAGACTCTGTAGTCATACTCATAGCTTTATTTTCGAGTTTCTCTTTTAGTTAGTTTAATCTTTTATATTTTAAGTACGTTCTTGGTTTTCGTGTAAGGGATGTTAACTGAAATTTTGATCTCGCTTCCGCATTTGATATATTTAAATACTCATTTCATTTTAATATTTCCGGGGTCGTTACAATTATGCTCCATTGGTCCTTTTTTTTGTTTTCTACCAACTTTTACTTCTGTGACAGTGAGATAGTGTGATGTTTTTACTGGGCTAGTGTAACTCATTCCTTACTTAACCATTTCAGATCAGGAGGTCTTGGTTCCCGAGCCCGTTCTGCAGGAGGACGGCGAGTAGAAGCCAAAGAATTTATTAGTTTTCTTTATAGCATTCGTTCATAGTATTTCATTTAACTTAGTTTATTCTTTCGTACGTTTAATTCGTTTTGGTTATTGTTTAAGGGATGTTAATCATAATCTATTTTATTTCGCTTCCGTACTTAGAATAAATATATATATTTCCTTTTAATTTCCGGGGCCTTTACAAAAATCATTATATAATAATGTCTATTGTTAAATCTACCAAAGAATGTGGCATTATTGTTTTTTAATTTCAAGAAAAATCATATTTATTGTCTAAATATTCTATTTGTTTAAGTTCTCAACTAAAAATTTTATAATTAAAAATGAATTATTAAATTTATAGCTTAGAGAATTTCTCCAACATGTAATGTTATCAATATAATTTGGTATTATAAACAATATTATAAATTTAAATCGTATAAAAAATTATCAAATTTTAACTTTGTTCCCCAATTTTTTTGTCGAACTTCCTTGTTATCATTCTTTAGGTACTAAAAATTTTATATATTATTTATTATTATTTAATTAAATAATTTGTATATTATTTATTACATAATAAATTATAAATTCGAGCATGTATTTTAATTAGTATATTTAAAGTAAGTTATAATTTAAATAATTAAAAAAATTAAGTGTTAAATATATTTATTTATATTCAATTGAACTTATTAAAGATTATGTGTATTGTATTATAATTGATTTATTTATATTAATTAATTAATAAAAAAATACGTGTCAAATTTTTATATAATTAAATAAAAATATAAGAGTCAGGACTCGGGAATCTGGCCCCACCTCATCGTCAAGCGCGTGTCAGAACAGACCCCAGAAATGGCCAAACGCAGAAAAACAAATCTACTCCCGGCGTTTTACCCTCCCCAGACTCTCTTTCCTTTTTTAGTTTCAAAATCCATCGGCTCTGATAACGGCTTCGAACGAACAAACATGAAAATGACCCTCTTATCCTCCCCTCCCCTCCCTCTCTCCTCCTTCCACATCCACCCCTTCGCCGTCTCTCTTTCCCCTCCGATCCTTCCGGCCTACCGCCTGGTTATCCGCCTCTCTCCGCCGCCGCGCACAGTTCAGCTTCGCTCTGCCGTTGCTGCTCTCGGAAATGGAGCTCTATTGCGGGATATAGGAGCCACGGCCGCGGTACTCTCCGGTGCCTACGGTCTTGTTTCCGCCTTCGATAATCTAACCAATAGGAATCTCATCCAACAGGTTCGCTTTCTGTCTTATCTGGATTTACTAATGATCGATATCCTTTCCTTTTTTTTTTCTCTTCTCGAAGAGAGTTTAGAATGTTTGGTTGGTAGAGATTACATTTTCTTGTTCATTTAATGCGAAATCGTCATGTTGCGTCCCGGTTGAGACATTGATTTTTGTTGTTTTAGTAGGATGAAAACAGGAACTGAGCTAAATTATTTTCGTTTGAATTTATGAGGTAGGGACGGTGCATTTACGTCCGTTCTCCCGCAGCGCCGCGCATTAAGTAGTTGTATCTGTATCTATATATATATATATATATATGCGTGATATTTTATATTGTATTTATATCAATATTTCGTACTTTAACTATATTTCCTTTATTTTTATTAAGTAATGATTATTGTTAGAAGTGTTTTAATTTTTACAATGATTAAATTTATTCTTCAGAAGAAAATAGATTGAACTCATGAAAAATAGTATAAGTTCTTTATATTTTTTAACATGTTGGTAATTTATAATGCTATTGTAATATTTCAGAAGTTCAAACATTTCTGGTTTTTTTTACCCCAAGTTAAACTGAATTCCCTGCCATGAATACAGATGGAGTAATTTTCTTCACTGAAAACAGAGAGATAAGATGGGGAATTGTCCCATCAGGCAATAGTTAGTGAAAAAGGGAAATCCTTGCCTCCTCGTCCTTTTGATTCCCTAATGATTGATGTGCTTGTGTACCCACGTATCAAAGAGAAAAAAGATTAAAAAGTCGAGTAATTTTCATTTCCAGGTCTGCAAAAGAGAAATGTAAAAATATTCAAGATCTTCATTTTATTTCCTTTCTCCCTTCTGAAGGAGTTTTTATTAGTTCCCACCTTTTTCTTTCTGAACAGTAATATAAGAGAATAAGAAATTAGTAACCAGTGAAACCGGATTTTTGCTGTAACATTCTACTTTTTACTCTTCCCGTAAAGGGAAATGGCACTTTGAGTTTCGTTTCGTTTCTCCATTTTGTTTCTTCGAACACGTAGAAACGGAAAGATAATCCATTCTTTTTCTTTTCATGGCCTTTTGTTTTGCTTCTTTTTTCTCTTAAACTTAGTTTCTATTGGAAAGTCTGTTGACTTTTTACTGCTTCTTTGTTAAGAAGTAGATTCAAATGTTATATTTGTTTATCCTCGCAGTTGAGTTACATACTTGTAACTTAAACTATCTTATTACTTTTAAGCACATTCCAGATACACAACCCCAGAATCAGAACACACACTCTTGTAAAAAGAGGTGAAAGTATCCACCATCTATACAAAGAATGGTTGGCCTACTATGTGATTAATTGTAAGGATAGTGCTAGCATGTATTGGGAGGAATGG